AATAAAATCTTAATGGAACTTCAAACAAATCCTAATGTAATTTTTAAAACATCTTAATAAAATTCGAAATCAATTCCAATCAAATTTTAAATCTTAAAGAAAATATTATTTAAATTTTAACCAAATTCTAAATCTTAAATCAAATATTATTTAAATTTTAACCAAATTCTAAACTCTAAATCAAAACATAAGCAAATCTTAATCCAAATCATAAATAAATCATAAACAAATCTTGAACCAAATCCTAATCAAATCCTAAAATAAACCTTTTACAAATCCTTATAAAATCTTAAATCAAATTTTAATCAAGTTCTAATTAGTTCTAAATTTTAAATCAAATCCTAATAAAATCTTAAAATAAATTATAATCAAATTCTAAACCTTAAATAAATTCTTAATCAATCCTATAGCACATTAAAATATCAATAACTAATAATCTAATTGTTGATGTATACTTAAAATTTGTGCACCTTTCAATTTTTAAGTTGAAAACAAATAGAATCAATTTGAAGAAGATTGAACTTACTAAATAAAAGATAAATTCTAAAATCCACTTAGGTATTGGCCGGCCTCCTTTTCCAACCTTAGTGCCAATCTTTTTGTGTTGATGACTTTGAATTTCACCATTTAATTGCTTTTAAAATTTGCAAATTTATTTAACATCAAGATAACTACTTTTATTCAAAAAATTAATTCAATCCAACTTAAAAATTGCTATAAATCTTAGAAACCTTTACTAATCTTCTAAAATTTAATTCCTAAGATTTTAAAATGCTTGAATTTTGATAATATTTAAATAAATTATTAAATAAAGTTCAAACTTATGATACAAATTTAACACAACATTGATGATACAATCACAAAATTTTACTTGTCGATCATCTACCAAATTTACACAAGTTTCCAAAATATAAACTTTTTATATTTCTTAAAATCTAAAGTCACCTCCAAAACAACCTTAATTTTGCAAAGCCTTTATAAAGCCAATAAAAACTCAAATCAAACAAAATTAATTTCCTAAGAACCTCTCATATGTTGGTTCTTAAATCTTATTCTTTAATCAATTAAAGAATCCTAAAATTGCTATAGGTGCTTAGTTTTATGTCTTAAAGTCTGATTTTAATCTAGATTTATAATCAATTCTCTTTCAATATCAATTCTTGGTTTTTTAAGATAATTTTTGCTAAAAAGTATTCTTAATATTTTTTTAAAATACATATATTAAAAAAAAATGTACTTTTATTTGCTTCATTTATGGCCCTTTAAAATAAATAAAAAAAATTTATCAAAAAATATCATTAATATTTATTAATTTTTACTACCTCCTTATCTATTATCTATATTTTTAAGATAATTTGCTATAATATTTTCATTCAAGCTCTTCTATAACATATAACTTTTTTTAATCTTTCACTTAATAGATGTGTTATAATATGACAACATGTTATTATTTGGCATGATTTATAATCTAAAAATATATTAGATATTTGGCTATAGATAATTTAGCTCTAATTTATTGTTCAAGTTTCAATAAATGAATTATTCTTAATAAAAAGTACAAATAAATGCAACAATATCAAAAGATATTCTACTAGTAAAAACCCTTTTTATTTAAGAAGGTTTATACATAAGGCTTTCTAGAATATCTAGAAATTTCCTAACAACCTTTGTTATACCAAATCATGACTAATCATTTGCAAGTAAGTTAGATTTTCAATAATTTCAAAGAAAATCTATAATCTCATTTTAAAACTCATTTTTATATCAAAATTTTATCATAGTTCCATAAATCCATTTTTAACATACATATAAAGTCTTGGCTCTCAAAAATTCTTTTAATTTTTTTTATTTTTTTTTATTTTTTTTTTGCTTTAAAAACTTTAGAATTTTATATCTCTTGATCAAATTATTTAATTTTTTTAAAATTTCTAGATAATATAGAATTTATCCTTAAGCTTTGCTACATATGAATAAATCATAATTTTATTGCCGATCATTTGGCATCTTAGAAACCTTAGCAGTTGCTCTAAACTCTAACTTATAAGTATCTAAGTATTATTTTCTTCATATTTCAAAAACCAAAAATTTAAATACCAAAAAAAATTTATATAACTTAATAACATAATAATACACACTAATAAAAATTTTGAGCCAAATCTTATCAAATTTCTTGAGATATAGTTCAAAACACAACAACTAGAAAATTGAGTTATTTATTGCCCTTAGATTCCAAGCACTGACTTCAACTTCCAATATTCCTTTCATCCTAACTTAGAATTCATCAAATAATATAAGTATAATATAGCCAAAAACATTCTCTTTTCAATCCTAGTCACTAATCTTTTATTATTTTTTGTATGCATGTATTATGTCCCAAAAAGTGATAGTAGGTACAAGATCAACACCTTGACTTTGAACACCTATATCTCCTTCACAAAAACTTTAAATCAAACAAAATTTGCACCAAACCCATATCCAAAAATCTTAACTTATTGATTCTAGCCTTTGGTATTCAAATGTCCTCAAAAGAGTAACCCTAATCTCTAATAAGGCTTTAAGCAACTTCCTTGAAGTTCATTAAGTATGACTTTTGGACAATAGGAATGGAGATTTATATCATCTATCTTCATTCATCCATATAGATGGCCTAACTATCCCTTTTGATACCAAAACTCTTCTCTATTCTTTTTTTTAATAAGTTTTACATAATATATGGTCTAAATATCAAATAAAAAAATAAGATAAGATTTCAAGAATCACCAATCTTTAATAAATATGGTTCTAAATATACAAAAACTATTATCAATATAAAAATTAACTTCAATAGTAGCCCTTTTAGACTAAGTACTTCAAAGTAGTAATCTAACCACATTTTGTATCCAACTAAAAACTAATAATGTGACTTTCACTATATTATATAGTAAATTGTACATTAAACATATATGTGCATTATTTTCACATGATAGCTAAACTACAACACGACAACAATTTGACTTTATATATGTTTATAGGTAATTGATAGGTTAAAAAATTTTCCAATAAGTTGGTCACTTGTAGTAGAAGTTTGTCATCTGATACACATGTGAAACTTGTCTTGTATGTTAGATACATGTCTTACAACTTGGAGACATTTTGGAGATCTTATAAAATGTTGCTACATAGCTTCTAGTTAGATAGTATGTAAAGAGGTAAGAACAAAGCCTTCTTAATTCTTGTCAATGCCTTTCTTGTCCTTAATCTTGTTTCAAAAATCTTTAATATATATATCATAAAAATGTTCATTGCATAATGTACAAGTTTTTTTATGTATTAAATAATTAGAAATTTAATTTTTTACACAATTATTATACATACTTGTACTTATTTAGAATTTATTATGTGTAAGTAAATTTTTTTAAAAATGATAATATTGGTTTTAAATTTATATACTAAAATAATATTTTAAATTTTATTAAAAAAAAATTATTTTAAAATATTTTAATTTATAAATTGATAAAATATAGAATAATAATTTTTAAATTTTATGTATTCGTAATTATTTAAAATTCTCTAAATTTATATAGTAATTTTTATACATTTTATTTTAAATATTTTTTATATATTATATATTAATTTATTTTGTGAATATATAGTTGATAGGATTAAAATATTTGCCTTATATCAATCAAAATACTAATAATATTGAATCATATTATAGTGCATTGAAGATATAATTAAATAAATAAAAAATTAGGAGAATCAAATAGAAGAAGAATAAATTGCTTAATGTAGCATCTTATAACTTTTATTATCATCAATTATATGTACATGGATGAAAAAAAGAGAAATGGTTTTGTACCAAATATAACTTTTGAAAAAAGAATTTAATCAAGTATTTAAAAAACTTTGAATATTTCCAAAGAAAATATCTTAGAACCAACTTCTATGCATGGATTTTAGAAGATGAAGTCTTAAGATTATAAAGATTTTAAATCTTAGTATGTAACTCCAAAGCCTTTTATAAATTATACATGTTATTATGAGTAGGCAATAAGAGACAATTTTTACAAGTACCGAAGTGCAATCCTTTTTCATTTTCTTTTATCAAATTGTTGTGCAACTATCATATTTTAATCACATAAAATATATTTACATAAAAAAATAAATAAATAAATAAAACAAAAAAAAAAAACAAACAAACAAATAAGAGGTTTATGGTGTTCCATTGTGATTCAAATTGTAGGAGTGTTTTTAAATATGATTCTAGAATTAAAGTAGAAGTAAAGAAAAAAAATGTTAAATGTGAAAGAATAGAAAATATAGTTAATACAAAAGTACATAGTAAATTAATTATAGAATTGGTAAAAACATCTTATCAAACAAATATGAATGAAGTGTATGAAAATATTATATAAATTGTAGATAGTAGAGATTATTTTTTATTACCATATTCTATAATACTTTTAGAAAGACCTAGTAATAAAGAAACAAAATACGAACAAGAAGTGTTATCTCTACTATCCATCCTAATATGGTTTAGGAACTTGCAAATTATATTTATGGCATTTTTAAAAATAAAAATAACATAATATAAAGATTTAATAAAAATTCTAACATTTGAACCTTTTTCATAAATGTTAAACCTTTAATCCACTTTGAGACATTAAGAGGCGAACATCTCAAGCTAGGTTCAACATCTCTAATTTACTTTCCAATCAATGTATATTTCCAACACTTCATTGGTTTTGAAATTATATTAGTTCACTTTAGTCTACAGCCCTAACATCATGATGTTATCGAATTATGTGCTCTGGCCTGTCTACATGATAACAGCTCCAAAATACCCAGTATCAAGGGCTAATGAAGCTGTGATGCAACACTCATACAGGCTGGCTATGCCGTCTTTCAAAAAAAAAAAAAAAAAAAGACAAGACAAGACAAGCTACCATTATTCCAGGTCTACAAAAAGCATGCACACAGGAATCATCGCTCTAAAACACCATCGTTATGCAGATGCAACGGTCGAAGAAATGAGGCAGACAGCAAGAGAAAAAACATGAGCCTCTAGATGTACAACATTGAAAAGAATAGTAACAAAGAAAGCACCATCTTTCTCGGCTCTCAAAAGCTACCGTCATTGACTACCCCTTTCCGAGACAGTTAAGTATTCAGACTTCTAATTGGACCCTGGTCATAAGAATCACCCACTGCTTTCATGTGTTAAATGGTGTCATCCGTAAAACTTGGGTTGAGACCCTGGTCTAGTTCCTGAGGTGCCACTGTTGTCTGGGGTATACTGTTGAGAGGATGGACTACCCTTCCGCTGGAGTAGCGTTTGTTGGTGTTGAAAGAATTCCTGAATCTCCTGCGTTGTCATAGCTGCACCACCCTCACTTTGCACCTCGTGCATTTTGGATTGTAGCTGGGGAAATACCAAAACAAAGCGAGCGTAGGAACAGATTGAAACAAAAGTGAAAAAATGTCCTCAAGCTAAAAATGCATATGAAATGAACTCCGTGTGTTGAGTTGAGTCTGTTGAGAATGTTAAAAGAACTGGCTCTCAAGGTACACTTGTATATGACATCTGCAGTCAGTGCAGTAAAAAGGAACTATGAGTCAAGTTGAGCTAGATACTTACCATCTGAAAAAATGCTTGCTGCTGATCTACAGGAAAGGCTCGCAGTTGCTGCAACATACCCCTTTGCTGCATAAAGCACATGTTCAAGCTACATGACTATAGACGAAGCACATGTTATATTACTGCTAGTTACAATCACCTTGCACATTGTTTTCCGATGCGATATGTACCAGACAATGATGCAGACAATTTCGATCCTACTAGACACCAAGATGCAGACCACTCTCCACGTCCCTTGTACTTTCACTATGACGACCGAAAAAAGAATACAATTTTTTGACCATCAATAAATACATCTATTGTAGGACTAGGACCAAGTTTTTCCAGCACCCCCAAATGATCACTTCGCATGTTTTTCTGCACTTTCAATAATTTTATGTGTGTGTACCTGTTGCTGAGACTTCTTGACCTCCTCCATTTTCCGTGCAAAAGCTTCCGGTCCTAATTCTGCCTCTTCACATGCCATCTCTTCCCTAACCAATGATTTCATTATCATAAGTAAAACTAGCAGGTGATGACAAATACGAGATTCGAACTTTCGGAATTATGAAACGCATCAATTCCTGTTTCCTCCACGTCATATAGTATACACTATCAGAAGAAAAAGCGAGTTTCTAATAACTTGTGGGGAATATCCTTGTGCTTACCGCGACACGAATTGGTAGAATTGAATCATCAAGTCACGATCATCTGAGTAAACCGTATTCACCTTTCCCAAGCACTCAATTCCAAATTTCGGATCTGCAAACAAAGGGGTAGTAATGATACTTTCAACATTATGTTCTCATACCTTTGACACATTTTGTCTCAGCCAAGATGCTGGACCAAGAACCTAAATTCTTGCATTCAGCAAAGAAAAATCTCACCAACAGAAAATTGACCACTTTAAGTTCTTGCACAATCAAAGCACGGTAGACGTAGACATGTCCCACTAACATAATCTGCAACATTTCATAAGATCCATCCCTGCAAGCCAGTGAATAGATTCTGCGAGTATAAGAAGCTGGCTGCTAAAACCTACGAAGGCTGGATGTAAGGAAGCACTATGATCTCCAGCAAGCCGTATTTAGAAGAAGAATGAAGAGGAATGTCACCTACACCCATCTTGAGAAACAGCTCCTCCTGAATTTCAGTTGTTACATTTACTGCTTCCTGGGACATCCATATTGTCATTCAAAAAAACATTAGAACTGAACAAGCCAAACACAAGGGTGGGAAGAAAAACCATTATAGACAGCTAGGGTACATGAAGTGGGCGAGATTGCACTTACAAATCCAGCAAAATTACAATCATTCAGCACATTCTAGGTCCGCACCGAAGTAGGCCAACATCTAGTCAAAAAGCATCATTCATATTTTTCACATAAAGTGAAACTCATAATAAAGCGTATAGTAAGTCATGTCCATTTTAACAGAATTGCGAAAGAATATCACCTGCTCGTCCTTAATAGCATCTGCAATACGGCTTTTTGTCTCTGTTTTCACACAAGACCATGGAACCACAATACATCAAACGTATGACAAAATGTCAAAGGAACAAGCAAACAATGCGACGCAGATCTGTAAGAAAGAGAATGAGAAAGTTCATGATAATCAACCACGACTCCGTCAACGGTGCCAAATTAGAGGTGGTGACGAGTTCATTCGAAGATGGTCATCAAGGATTATCAGCACAACCAACCAGATATTGCAGGCCAGTCTATTCAACATTAGACCAGCAAATGAATGGAGATCACATTACTTCTTTAAATAATGAAATTTCAGAAAATGCGGATACTTTAATTGATGCTACAACATTTTTCACAAGAAGACAACAAAACAATCTCAAAGAATGCACCACATGGCATACTTACCAGGTTGATCAAGAACGCTCGAAAAGTCCCGAAATAGTTGCAGCAGCTGCTCTTTGGTGAGCATGCCTTCAGATTGCAAGTCAAGGTTCGGTTGTCCTCCGAAAATGCCACCAGCCCAATTGTAGTAGGACGCCATGGTTCCTTATCACTCTGACTATCACCAAAGAGTAAAAAAACATGTTAATTTTGTATATACCTCCACAAAGCGTAAACCATTCAGTACATTCAAGCCACACGGAAGAGTCCGGAAGACCTAACAAGGTGGAAAATTTACGCGTTCAATACAACGCTCCAGAGGACTAACCTCCTCAATTAAATTCAAATCGACATCCACATCACAAGCGCGAAATACACTCCACCCATCTTTGAAACCATAAAAAAAAAAATTCAAACCCTTTCCAAATGCCAGTGATGCCACAACCCCACTACACAATCCACATTCGTGGTCCAACCTCTACATTCGAAAACTTCAGCCAACTTAAAAACTACCGACACTACAAGCGTCCTCGCACCACACTCCTGCAAAAGGATTCAAGGCAACAAGCGTAGAACAAGCCTTACCTATCTTTGAAATCACAGTGCCTACCCTTCCCTGTTTTACTTCCCCAGACAGCTCCACGACAACGCTTCAAATGTTTCCCATTCTGAAGAGATGGGTTCCTGGCTGGTTGTTTGTTATTCGGCATTCATGAGGCTTCTTCGACAGAGCTGTGAGTGTCCATCCCTGCTGCGCTCCGCAAGTCGGTGGAGGTAGCAGATTCAACGACGACTATTGCGCTCAGAACATGTGGGTGGAAAAGCACTTTGGATGATGAGGATGATGAGGGCTCTTCTGCAACCAAGCAACCAAGCAAACTAACTAGAAAAATCTCACCTTGCACTCCTATTAGCAGCAATTGTTCGCTCTCCCTCCCCCCCTTTGCTCACTCTTGCCCTGGGATTTCATACCCACATTTTGTGAACATGTTTCATGCATTGCATGTCCGTTTTATATATTTCTACATGTTTTGTGAAATAGAGGTGCATCTGCAAGAAGTCTTCGGCTGAGCTCGCCAAGAAAAGAAGTCATTAACTTGTTCATCAGCCAAGGGAAGTTGGTGCAAGGAAACATGATTTTGTGGTACTGTTAGAGATTGAGAAATAATTTGCAGGATTATAAATATATATATATATATATGTGTGTGTGTGTGTGTGTGTGTGTATACATATAAATATCTCTAATCATATAAGGATACTGTTACAAAATTGAGTCAGTAAGATTTTATTAGGCATAAATTAAAATAAATAAATAAAAATCCAAATATTTACAGAATTTTTACAGAATTTTTTCATACATCTTTTTGTAAATACATTGTAAATACATTCCAAGAACTTATTTAGTTCATCAGTTTTTTATAATTTTAAAAAAGATCACCTTGTTTATTAAAAATATTTTGTTGAAAAAGTGTATAAGTTCAAAAATAGGTATGGGTTTAAAAGCTTTCACAAACAAACAAAACAAAACCAAAATAGTGTTGCAATACTTTAAAACTTAATTATTTTTTATTGATTTTGCGAGAGGATAATTTTCTACATTAAAATTGATATGAATTTTAACATCTATATTACTAAATACTGTAAAAATTAGTTTAAACTAAACTTAGATTATTTTCTAGAATATACTAATTTTAATTAATAAATAAGAGAGTTGTGGTAATTAGGACTAAGATAACAACTAGACTCAAGGTAATAGCAAAAATTAATAGTAGGTAAGTACTTAGAAAATTCATTCATTAAATATTTTCATCAAAAAGTAATCTAAAAATAATTAGTCAGCAAGCACCTTAATACAAATGTTTCTATATATAAATACAAGATATTAGAAGTAAGATTTAATCTTATTCCATGTGTTTTTTTGTGTACATCTTTTTTATCTTTTTACTTTTTAGGATTTTACTATTTTTAAAATTGATTGAACTATGGACTTATTAATATTAAACTTCTAGAAAGAAATAATCTTATTGGTAATGTACCTCGTTAAAGAATAAAATATATATTTGTTTGTTTGCTTTAGAATTTAAAAATACTACTCTTAACTTATGGATGTCTTTAAAGTTACTAATGCTTAAAGAAACTTTGGTCATTCTTTAAAAAAAAAAAAACATTATTAGTAGAAATGCTTACTTATGTGCAATTGTATATTTTAGAAAGTAAGAAATTTAATAGTATTACATTACTTTGTTGGAAGAATATTTTAATATAATTTACTGAATTTGAGGTTTTGGATATTTATTATACGTTTTGCATTTACATCTCAACACATTTAATTAAATAATTTCAAATAATAAAATTATTAAATTAACAAATATATTATAAAGTTGTTTAAAATAAACATGAGAAATTATAAATAAATTAAATACTTTCTAGATTTAAAGACTCATCTGACATGTTGAGGTTATTTTTAATCTTATTAAGTGTATTAAAAAAAAAAAAAAAAAAAAAAAAAAAAAAAAAAAATTGTCAATTAAAAAACTTGGAATTGGTTTTATTTGAAATATAGTTTTCTAAAAAAATTGATATATAATTATTTTTTCATTTTAATAATAATAATAATAATAATAATAACCTATTAAGAATTATAATTTCTAATATAAATTTTTAAAATCTAGTTTAAGTCTATAATTAAGAAGAAGTGATATAATGTGTTCAACATAGCCTCAAGTAAAAGTAAGGATTTGAGAGTTATTAAAACATTTAAAAACAGAGAATTCAAAAATTACAAGGTGATAATAAATAAATAAAATTTGCAATATTTGACCTTTTTTAAAAAAATTGATAGTTTTGAAGATCCTCCACTGAAAGAAGAATGTAAAGATTTAAATAATAATAGTAATAAATTTATCTTTATTAAATATTTAGTATCATCTATATTTTACAAGTCCTATTTAGATGCATTTTTAATCATGCCTTTCGTTGCATAATATCTTATGCTTAACACTCTATTTTTTTATGTCCTCCAAATAAATTAAAATTACGCATTAATACACTTTATTTATACATGGTAGTTTAAATGTAATACATCTTAAAGTTTTAGAAATAATTAAAGCAACCTCTATTTATACAAGCTCAATGTCTTTTAAAATTCAATATGGTCAAATCACCTCTATTATATGTTAATTTACTACCATTGTTCTGTATTACTACATTTAGAATTATTAGTGGTCACTTCAAATTCTACAAAATAGTTATAATTTTAAAAAAGAATATAAATCCCATAGAAAATCTTTAATATTTTTATATATCCAATTTAATTTACATTACACTAATTTTATAAATTAATATTCTTAATATCTAAGCATAATATAAAGTCTCATGTAGCTCATTAATATCTTATAATTTCAAAAAATAATAATAATAAAATAAAAAAAATTAAGAACATAAGATCTATTTTAAATATATATTAATTTATAACATTTTTTCATATAGATTATCAAATTATGTGCTTTGTATCATATATATATATATATATATATATATATAAGCAAGTCTATTATTATCTTTTCAACATGTTTTTACCTACTATTTAATTTTATAATTGAAGTAAGATAGGCATTTATTATAATATTAGAAATATGATACAAGGATTGAAGGAGAATTGAAGATTAAACAATAATAAGTTTGTATTTAAGAATGTTTGAAGAAATATATTTTTAAATAATTTAAAAGAATCAAATTTGTATTAACACATAGGATTAGCAAGTCACCATATACTATAATCCTATATTTTTTTTAAATATCTTGTAAAAAATCGTCTATTTTTTCTTAACCCTTTTTTTTCTTCTTCTTCTTCTTCTTCTTTTTTTTTCAAAACTTTAAAATCACTATGTAACAATCTTATTAAGTACATTTTTCTTAACAACCGAAGGTTTGCACCCAATATTTCTTTTTCCACTAACACTTTATAGTGCAATTAATCACTTTAATTTTCATGTAGTATTCCTATTCCTTAGACTCACAGTTACTAGTTTATTAAGGTTGTGGAAATGTGCAAGATATCAGACAACTTTATGTGGTCTGCAGAAATTCACACACGCTCAGGCATTTACTACTGCTACAATTTTTTCTAAGTACCAATTCTGGTGATGTTATTGACCCAGATTTCCATTGACATGACTTCAAAGGTCATGGATCATTCTAGTGAATCAGGTGCTCGAGGTAGAAAGCTTACAGTCTCACACTTTCTGTTAATTTCTAGTGCGGCGAGCAGTTTACCGCTTCCATGGAAATAAGCTTTAAGTTATCAATTAGGATTGGCAATTTGATCGGTGAAGCTCATGTTCAGCTCCTGTGAGGCATCTGCAGTGGCCTGAGTCTGGTTTTCAGCAATAAATTTTGAGACAGTTGATCTAGATATCGTGTGTGTGTGTATGTATATTTATTTATGCACGAGAACAGTATACATTTACTCTCACTGTAATGCATATTATTTGGAAACGGGAGCGAGTATCTACGACTTGATCTAAGACTTGATCTCGCAGTCGTAATGAGTAGTTTAAATGCCCATGGTCTACCGTTGACACACAATTGTTTGAAAGAAAATAAATTAATAAAATTCAAGCTATAAGTTTGCGGACTTGAGAGGTGGTATCTGCTTGCATGAATTGAAGTGAAACAATGTTATCGTCGTCAACTAGGACAGGAATATTCATACGTGTGTATATAGATATATATATATATATCCCTCACGCTACATCACCAAGTAGACACAATTCAGGTCATATGTTAAATGCTATCCACGAGCATTTCAAAGGCAGAGTGAAAGCTTCCCTTCTCTCATAAAAATATTTGGTCAAGTTCCAATGTCATTGATCTCCACTCCTTGTAGGACAGCGTGACTCTGACCACTCCTTGCAATCATTCTATCCAGTGTCATATTGTCGATCAAACACTGAACCCATGCTTACTGAAGAAAGTATCGCCTTCTTATTTGTTAAACCTTCGACACCCATTTTTAGAGGACGACAGGTTCTCGAAGCAGGGATTCCGAATTGCTGTATGTGAGTTACTCTTTCACCTTGAGAGACCACCTGCTACAGGGAGTCTGCCTGTGCTTGTTTAGTTGTGAAGGGAGAGAAGATCCCTCACTTCGGAACAAATATGTTTGCCGAAAGGGTTGTTTGAGTAAAGATTCTCGACATTAAGAGACATTTTTGCCCCTTTTTTCTCACAGCGCTCTCCATACATTGTGAACAAGCTGTGCCATTGCCATGACAACAGCCTCCATGTTTCCCGAGTAGAAAATCCTTTTGTCTCCTTACGGAAACCTGCCGAACATAACACAATCACCCAGTTCTCATTGAAATTCTCAAGAGGAACACAGGAGGTAAAGCAATTGGAGTGAGCAAATACAAGGCAGGTCTACAAGCACAGGGTCTAGACAGAGATTTTCGGAGCACCCTGGTGGCGTGGCTAACCATCGGTGCTTCAACCAAAATCCTTTTCTTCTGCAAAAACTCCCCATCGATAGTGCAGCATTCGAAGAACCTTCAGGTCACCCTCCAGGACGGTGACATTCGTTTCAAATACCAGGGGCTTTCCTAAGTGTTTGTTTGGCCACTCATACTCAGTCGGAAAAAAAGTGGGTACTTTTCCAGCTTCAACTCTTTGGAACCGGGATCTTAATTCGTAAAGGAGAGGACCAGGCTGTCAAAATAGTGTGAAGAGTTATAGCTCATGTGGGGCCACTTCCTGGTGTTTTGGCTTCTGAGGTGAGACCTCATAGATCATTTCCACCTCATATATGTGCGTGTGTGTGCGCGCGCGCGCACAAACACAATGTGCATTCGGTATATCCATCATAATTTTTACAGTGAAGTTTGAGTGAAATTTTTTGATATGATTGGTTTGCACTCCTTTGCAATACATATCTATGTTTAAGGATCTTGTAGAGATCGTCACATTAGCGCTTGGCTCACTTGA